TAAAGTGCTTAGAGATCCTGCCACAGAAGAGTCAATTATTACCCTCTAGACTAGAGGCTCTGCTCTCCTGCCGAAGGGGGAAAGTACTGCCAGCTGCTGTCGTTAGGCCACTGGTCTCGCCTAAGCATGGCTTTCCAGGCTATGCTTCTCCCCAGCAGGGCGTTGGCGCAGAGAGCCGAGAGATTGCTTGCTTGAGGCTGTGTGTGCTGGCAGATTGCCCAGGGAGGGTTAGTATGCTGTCCTCGGTGCTCTGGACAGGGGCTTCGTTGGAAGGGACGTTCCGGACTCAGAAAGGGGCGTCAGCATGGACCCATCTGCGCAGGGACCAGCGAGGCATCCTGACCTACTCCCCACACTCGAAAGGGCAGCACTGAGCAACTGCCCCAGTGCAATATGGGCAACTCCCCCCTCCTTTCCTGGCTCAGGCCTCTGCAGGAGCAGGGTGCCAGGCCTCATGGTGCTGCAGGAGCAGCAGTACCAGGCGGGATGGAGCAGTGCTTGGAGCCAGCATGGCTGGGGAGGACAGGACTCTGCGTTAGGTTCCTGCCAGGAAATCCGGCTGCTAGAGTCCAGCTCTGTATCCACTGGGTGCCACGATTTGTGGAGCGTTTTGTCGAGGGATCTGGCCATCTCGGAGTGCTCTGAGCCCTCTTGTCACCAGGGGTCTAGACACCAGCTCCCCATGCCCCTCAGAATGGGTTTAATGGATTATTGTTTATTATTCATGTTGCAGCAGAACACAGAGTATCCAGCTGCATAGCCAGGCACTGCACAGATGTCCCTGTCCCAAACTGCTGACGGTCTGAACAGACCAGGCAGACACAGGGCGGGAGGGGAAACTGAGGCACTGACTTCTGCATTGTCATGGATTGTCCAGGCATTGCACAGAATTAACAGACAAAGCCTGAGTCCCTGTCCCCATGTTGCTGTCCTGACCCCAGTGCAGGGGAAACCGAGGCACAGAGTAGAAAAGTGACTTGCCTGATGCAAGATTGAGGGGGGCAAAGCCAGGATCAGCACTGAACACCCCAACGGGGTTAGCCCGCAGAGCTGGGGCCAGGTGTGTTGGGCAACAGACACGCAGGGGATGGGGCCGCCTCCCCACGCCCAATGAAGGACGATGGCTGCTTCAACAGCATCTCCTGTCCCCACCCAAGCCCTCTCCTCCAGCTGCAGAGGGAGAAATGGGGAATGTGTGCTGCAGAGCCATGGGTGAGTGGGTGGGGGTCTTTTTTAGCTCTGACGTCTCCCCATCCGTCACAGTTGTTTCTTCCACGGCCGGGGTTGAGAGAGGACGGCGCGGGGGAGGGCACTGATTGTGTTTTGAATTTTGAACATTAATCCCTGCACGTTGCACAAGAGTCTGGTGGAAAATGCTGTCCCAGCACTTTGTCAGGATTTACGACTCTACTGCTGCTGCTGGCTGGGCACGCACACAAAATCTCTCTGTTAAGAGCACCAGCTACCTGGAGGGGGCGCCACTGCAGCAGCAAAGGCACCTGGGCAGGAGCATGTGTGGGCACAAACAGGCTGTCGGCATGCAAGTCAATATTATGTGTGCCCACAATGCACGCTCACCGTGCACCAGTGTACACCACACATACTCAGACCTGCACTCTGCACAGTCATCCTGCACAAGACTATAGCAGGGCTCGGAAAAGAACTAGATAAGTTCATGCAGGATAGGTCCATCAGGTGTCCCTAGCCTCTGTTTGCCAGAAGCTGGGAATGGGCGATAGGGGATGGATCACTTGATGATTCCCTGTTCTGTTCATTCCCTCTGGGGCACTGGGTATTGTTTGCTGTCAGAGACAGGATACTGGGCTAGATGAACCATTGGTCTGACTGCTCTTAATCGTCTTATGTACAAACCTGCAATACGCAGCCAACCCTGAACTCAGACATGGACTATGCACACCCACCACTGAGGACGTGGGCAGTCATGCCCAGTGGTTAGAGCAGAAGTCAGCAATCAGAGCCAATGGTTAGGACTGGGTTAGCTAGAGTAAGGCAAGGCTGGATCGAAGGCAGGAGCAGGGCTGCAGGCACTATCACAGCCAGGGGTGGCTCCAGGCACCAGCACACCAAGCATGTGCCTGGGTGGCAAGCCGCGGGGGGCGGCCTGCCGGTTGCTGTGGGGGCGGCAGTCAGGGAGCCTTCGGCGGAATGCCTGCGGGAGGTCCACCAGTCCCACGGCTTCAGCGGTAATTCGGTGGCGGCTATGCCGAAGCCGCGGGACCGGTGGACCTCCCGCAGGCATGCTGCCGAATCCACGTTACCAGCGGACCTCCAGCAGGCGTGCCGCCGAAAGCCACCTGCCTGCCGTGCTTGGGGCGGCCAGAAACATAGAGCCGCCCCTGATCACAGCCGTGAATAAATTATTCCAGCAGGTGAAGCAAGCAGTGACCTGTGTCTGCTGCTGGCTTAAGAACAGTTCGCTGACTCTCCCAACCAATCAGGCAGCTTATAGACCAGCTACCCTGGTTAGATCGCCTGAGTCGGCCTCTGCAGTAGGCCCCTGATTCCTGACCCTGCACACAAACATGTGCGATGCACAGTCACTGTGCACATAGTTGCACTATGCACAACCACCGTGTGCAAAGCTGCGCCATGCACCTACGCGGTACACAAGCGCACACTGTGCATACACCCAAGCACAAGTACCTGTGCCACAGATGGGCAGATAAGCTCAGCAGGACGAAGCCCAGCGCTGCGCTGTCAGGTCATGCAGGGGACTCCCAGCCCCTTTGCTGTGCAAAGGGATCAGCCCGGACCCCAGAAGGGGGCTGTGTATGGAGAGGGACACCCCTGGAGGCAGTACAGAGGCCCGACACGCAGGGCAACCCTTGCCCCTGCCCTGAGATTTCCCCCACTGATAACAAGTTGGAGCCTGAGCTTAGGGGCAGCTCTGTTCTGTGACTGTTCAAATTCGTCTTCCAGCTGTGCCTGACTAACGTCTGGGCTGGCTGGCACCTCCCAGCCCTCTCTCCGTATCCAGGCAGGGTAATAAACACCCTGGAGTGTATTAGGCCCGGACACGGCTGCTCTCGTTCTGCCAGTCTCCCTGGTGAGCCCTGAACAGTGCAGGTCAGACATATGTTGCTCTTGGCCAGGGGCCAGGCATTGACAGGGCCCTCTGCGAGTTATGAAATCCATAATGAGAGTGCCGGCCCCACCTCGCACCCGCCCGCGAGTTCAAAGGGGCACGGAGAGTCCCGGACAGGGGAAGAGACAGTCAGACCAAGAGAATGGAGCACAGGGGGTACTGGACACAACAGAGCCTCCATTGCGTGGGGCTCCCAGAGTTGGAGCGGCAGGAGGGCAGTGGGTTGAGATCGAGGGGCAGGCAGAGTTGTTGTGGGGGGCAGCCCAGGGCTGGAATAGCCAGGGGGCTGCGGGCTGGCGTTGAGGGGCATCAGCCAGCCACGTGAGAGAATATTGCAGAGCATCTGTCCACGCTAGGCCTGGCCTTCTTTGTCCTTCCTCGTCACCCCCCAAGCGCCCCTGGACCCAGGAGACTCCAGATTTGCCGACCACCTTGGAATCCCTGGAACTGCCCCTTGTAAGCAGCTGCCGCTCCGGGCCTGGGCGGGTGCCTGGCATCTCAAGTCCTGGCGGGTGGCGCACGCCCCTGGGGTCGGGGCGCTGCGTTGGGGAGGGGTGGCATGGAAAGACATTCGCCTGCCTGGGGGACTCGAGGACACAGACCCCCCCAGGGAAGCTGCAGAGCTGGAGGGGGTTGGCGGTAAAGCTGCTTCCACATCCAGGGCTGCTCTGAGGGTCGGTCCATAAAGCCAAGGAAAGGCCTAGGATGGGGGACACACCTCGACGCATCCCCACCAATGGGCTGTGCCTCTCCCCAGCTCCCCTTACACCCGCCGATCAGTCAGGAGGGGTTCATAACGCCGGGAGGGGGAGTGCTCTCAGACGCACCCAGCCGGGCAGGGAGGGGGAGGCACTAACCACACTGGCTGCCATAGGGCATGGGCACCCTGCCCCAGCACAATGGGCCCATTGATTCAGGGCAGGGCGAGGAGTTGCGAGAGTCTCGTCTGGGCCAGGGAGGGGCCCGTCGGCACCTGGCTGGTGCCAGGGAACATTCCTGCCAGCGAGGGCGATGGGGCTCAGAGCCGGGTCGATTCTGTGCAATGCGGAAGCCTGATGCGCCCCAGAGGTGGTTTGCAGGCCCGGCTCGTCCTTCGGGACGTAGGAGCCCCAATGCCTGTGTTTGGTGAGGGGCAACAGCCTGGATTTATGTTCCTTAGTGACCGGGCAGAGCCTGCCCTGGGTGGGATCCAGAACAGGGCCCGTTTCCTGGCCAGGGTGAAGGGCCCCAAAAGGGGAGACTTCGGGTTGGCGGGAGGGAGAGCAAACATGGCAGCGGCTCAGAGCAATGGGCCTTCCGGGGGGCACTGCTCCCCTTCCTCCCACCCAACCCCCCCGCCCCGGCTGCTCAGGGCAGCTTGCGGCCCCCGAAATGCCCGCAAAGGGTCGAGAGGCAGGTTGGCACCCCCAGAGGGCAGGGCCTGCCGCAGAGAGGTCTGTTCCCGGGCGGGGGGGCACACACAGGCTGCTAAGAAAGCCCTGAAGAATTAAGCCTGTGACGGGGGAGAGGGGGAGACTGGTCCAAGGTCACACAGAGCGAACCCCGCTCTCCTGGCTGCTAGCCCGGTGCCTTAGCCACTAGGTCAGCCTCCCTCTCCAGGGCTGTGGTGATCACAGGCTCTTTCACGGCCTCACGGGCTGAGTGAACCCACGGCCCTGTCTCCCTCCTGGTCCAGCATTCCCCTGGTCCCCTGAGGTTGGGACAAAGCCTGATGCAAACAGCGGGACCATGGGGTGCGTGGGGATAGTTGGCATCTCCCAGTTCCCGGCTATGCCGAATCCTAGAGGCTCGGCTAAGGAGAAGGGGCTGGGCGTGGGCGTGTGCACGGGGGGAGTTATCAACAAAGCTACTGAGTTACAAAGTTAATAGCAAAGCAGGCAGCCGCAGCGGGGCCCTGCACCTGCCACGGGGCCTTTTGTTGATCCTGACGGGCCGGTGAAGCTGTTTTTCCTCTCCCCGGCGTGATGTCAAGCAGGGGGCGTGTGCTGCCAGCCGCCAGCGAGGCAGGTAGATAAAGGATTAGAGCGAAACAGGAATCCCCAGTTTTTCCGTCAAGCCAGCAGAGACGGAGCGTCTCCCCACCTCTGGGGCCAGGTAAGCGGCTGGTTTGCTCCCCCCACACACTAGTCTGGACGCGGGGGCACGGTTTGTAACGCGGGGGCGAGGGCAGGTGTGTGACCTCATGCTCCTCCGGCCGGCAGGGCTCAGGGGCAATATCCCTAGTTTCAGACTAACGCGCTCTCTCTTCCGCCATGGCTCTTCTCTAGCTTCGTCGGTTCTTTGTTCCACCCTCCCCTTCCTCACCTTCTTCCTCCCTCCATTCCTACCTTTCTTCCCTTCGTTTCTCTCCCCCTACCCCGCTTTTCCCACCTGCTCCTGCCGCTCTGGCCCAGCCAAGCGAGACGGGAACCGGGCAGAGGAGACGCCCTCGGGGCAGGAGAGCTGGGGCCTGTGCGGTGCCTTGCTCCTGGGGTGTCTGCAGAGGCGGGTGATAGGTGGGAACGAGACCCCCGTCGGCCATCGGGAAGGGAGTAGCCACAGGAAGGGATTCCCGGGGAGCACCTGTTTCTGGCTGCAGCAACTGCAGGGCAGACCCTAACGAAGCCAGGGCCTCCAGCGACATCGTCACCTAGGGAACAAACTCTTCCCTGCAGGGCCAGGGGGCTGATCGTGAGTCTCAGGAGCGAACCCGGAAGCCCGGAGTCCAGCACCTGACTGTGTGCTGGGTTTATTATCTCAGCGGCTGAGGGGGCCCCCCCCGGCCTCTATCTTTGTCCTCCATCGATCATCTCCAGCTGCCTGGGTTACGGGCAGATCTGGCACCTCCGCGATGTGGGGCTTGCCCCAGGATGCTGGAAAGTGCCTGCAGGGGCAGGCGATGGTCAGGCCGTATTAGGGGTACCCAGGGCAAACAGGCACCATTGGTACTGAGCAATCTGACGCTAGCGAGCGCTGACCCGATGCCACGGTGATGGGCAGGGGTAAGGACCTAGTTAGGCCCGACTAGGAAATACAATAGAGTAGGATGGGAGGAGGCTTCTAGCGGGAGCGGCTTCTCCCCAGGAATATCCCAGCGGGGCCAGGTTACCGAGGAGAACAGCGATGGCTGGAGGACCTTTCTGAGGGCCGGATTTTGAGCTCGCAAAGAGGAAGGGCACGGAAGCCGGGGGACGAGGGGAGCCCTTCTTTACTCCTGCCCTAAGCTGGGTCTCTCGTCACCCTGCTCAGAGCCAGGGCAACGGACGAGCAAGACATGGCACAAATGGAAGCCCGCTCCAGTGTAGCCAATGGGGCCGGCCGAGCCAGCCCGCCTGGGACCCCCTGACTGAGCCCTGCTGGGGCAAATATGCTTTGGCCTCTTCCCTCGGGTCATTTCCTCTGCTGCGGAGCCTGTGTCCAAGGATGTCAGCAAAAGGCCCGCATCCTTCCTGCATCCCAGCAGGGCTTTGTCCCCAAAGCCAATCGTCCCTTTCCCTCCCATTAACCCTTTGAGTGCTGCCCGCCCACTCGGGGACTGCTCAGGGCCGGCAGGACCCTACGTACATGTCCGTGCCCCCCCGAGGTCCGTGAACCAGAGTCTGGCTATCCACGCGGCTGCCAAGCGAAGAGTTCTGCTCCTGCTGAGGTGGGGAAACTTCCCAGCCTCTCCCAGCCAGTGCCCTTCAGTCCTGTGGTTGAAATCACACCAACCCCTGCTGGGCCGTGTGGCCTGGCACCGCTTGGAAGTTGCTTGCACATTAAATGCAGGCAGACAGCCTTTTTATGAGATGCTTTAATGGCTGAGCTGGGGGGTGGCGGGCAGGTGAGGGCGTAGGTTACTGATTAAAGCCCTTGGTTTGTGTTTGCTGGGGGGCCGTCAGTGCTGGATGGTCTCTCAGCGGGTGGCAGGGACAGAACATCCAATGAATTAAGCTCTGGGGTACCCGTCTTCCCCACCCGCAGCCCATGAGCTCAGCCAGGCACGGCTGTCCTGAGCTCACCAGCAGGCTGCAGAGCACTGGGGCATTCAGGGCAGGGATGAAAGAAGCAGCGCGTCCGTGAGCCAAGAAATGCTGCGCTCTGGCTGGTTGTTGCTGGTGCTTTGTCAACCATCACTAAGGCCCGTACGGGCAGGCTGGGCGGCTGCTCTAGTCGTGTTTAAACTTTAAACAGCTTTCATGGGCACGGTTGGATTTTAAAAGGTTCGAAATCCAAGAGCCTGGGAGGTTCTAAAAGGACCAAGCTCCTTAAGCCTATGAAGTTATTGATATATAACTGTGTTTTGATAAATGCCAGCAGTGCACAAAGCGCTCCAAGTCATGGGGCCAGAGCATCAGCCAGTGTAAACTGGCCTGCACTCATTGCACTCTGCTGATTTAGACAAGCTGAGAATTCGGCCTGTTGTCCCTGCCCCAAAAGTGCTTACAGTCCAAAAGGAAGTTCTTAAGGGTTCTAAAATCCAGAACCCACCGAGGTTTAAAGCGGTCTCCATTGTAGAACCCAGGAAGTTCTAAATGGTTCTCAGTTTGAAAACCCACAAAGTTCAAAAAGTTTGAGGTTCTAGAGCCTGTACTATCCTGAGAGATTCTTTGTATTGATTAGAAACTTAGAAAGTCAAAGAACCTGTCCGTGTAAGGCACATACTCTAGAACCCAGGATGTTGTCAGTAGTTGGTTGGGGGCTTCCCACCTGTCCAGTTCTGAGCTCTCAGGCATCTCAATCTTGGAACCCCTCTTTCCCTGGGAGCACTGCTTTTCATTGCTTTTTGTTCAGGCTCCCTTGTGGCAGGAGATCACACAGATCTGTGAGGTCCCGGGGGCAGCGTCTTACAGGAGGTGGTTGAGATAATGGGCTGAGTTTCAGGCATGGCATCCAGGTTGCTTGGAGCATCAGACAGTGTTTCTCTGTGCGGTTAAGGAAGCGCCTTCGTGCTTTGGTCTGGCTTCGTTTGATTCCAATATACCAGTACATTTCCCCACTTCAAGCCCTCCCATCAGATTCTCCATTTGCAGAGCTCTGATCCGTCACAGTCTTTCCGCCTTGTCGTTTTGTCAAGGATAAGCTGTTTCCACACCGGGATGCCACTCTATAATCTGCACTTGCCCATTGCAGCAAGGTCTGGGGAGGATGCCGACTCGAGGGCCGTCTTCTCAAACTATTTGGATCAGGTGTCTCTACCCATATTTGTGGCTCCTGTCTCTCCTTCTTGTTTGCTGACAGCTTGGAATTTACAGAATTCATGAATCTGAAGATTTGTGATGATAAGCACAAATCGTAACGAGCTAGCTGTGTTTCAGGGGAGATGTAAAACTGAGGTCCCAGCCACTTGTGGCCATATCATTTTGCTCATGCTTCGCATTATAGGCCTGTATTCTAGCCAAATTCCAGCTCTGCCTCCTTAAATTCTCCTTCATGTTTCAACTGGATGCGGCAATCGTCACTTAAACTCTTGTGTAGCATTGCGGCGACTGTTAAAACAGCTGCTGTGTTTCACCCTAGAGGTGGCTGCATTCAATGGAAAGTGAGCGGAATCCTGCACTTAGAAAACCAGGCTCAAACCTCAGTTTGGCTTGCGTTAAATCCACAGTAAGTGGGGGCCACTCTAGATTTCCACCGGCGAAACCGAGCTCTGAACCTAGTTGTTTGGAAAGCCGCTTCGCAACGTCAGGCCTTGAAATTGCTCCCCCCTCCAGCGGCACGCGTGAACTTTCAAGCACAAACATCTTGGGAAGTTGCTCTTGACAGAGCATGAGCCTGGGACCTTGACCAGAGACAGACAATGGACTCTGAGCTTCCTGCCCTACCAGGCAGGCAGCGACCTGAGAAGGGCTGTGGAGAGACAAATATGCCCCCCTCCCTGGGGACTGTAAATAATAAATGAATGATTAAACCCTGAGATCAATGAACCTCTCGCCTTGGCCTGTTGAACAAATTAAACTTTAAATGGGGCTGCTTTCTCCAGGACGTGCTGTTGTTGGCCGTGTACAGATTTCATCAGGGTTGGTTTTTTTAGAGGGGGTGTGTGTGCGTGCAGGTGCGTGCGTGTGGTCGGTCTGTGTGTGCGCAAGTGTCGGTGTGCTAATGGTCTGTGTGTGGGTGTGTGTCTGCATGGGTCTCCTTTTATTTATGCATCTCTCTCTCTGTGTGTGTGTGTGGGAGGGTGTGGGTATGTGTTTTGCATCCTAGCCAGTGGCTTTGCCTTTAGCCAGGAAGTTGTTTTCCAGGAGTAGGCTCCCAGGCAGAGAGCAGAATACGTAGTTTGCAAATGTAGGAGTGGGCGGCAAGTGGCCCAACTTCCTGCTACACTTCATGTCTGGGCCTCTCAGCTGCCCTTTGTAGAGGTGCTTGGAGATCAAAGAAACAGACTTTTCGATGGAGTATTCGGGTACCTGGCTTTCCGAGGTGCAGTTGAGATTCTGGAAGCATTGATGTCTCCGAGTGTCTATCCGTTTGCAGTGTTGTTGTAGCCATGTTGGTCCCAGGATGTTAGAGAGACAAGAGATATTATCTCACCCACCTTATCTGTCTGTCTATCTATGCTCTTTACAGAGTGCTTCTTCTGGTGGTGTCTCTCCCAGGTTGGCGCCCGCCTCCTTTCACCGGAACACATTCAGTTACTTTCAACCCTGTTTTGCCAGGTTGGAGAGTGACACCCCTGCCCCACCCCCAGTGCCTCTGTGAGCCTCACGTAAAGTAACGCTTTGGGGCAGGTCCCCTGGGTGAGGGGTGGAAGGAATCGGGCCTGGGACTCGGCAGGCAGACTCTAAGAATCCGCATCCACATTAAAAGGGAATTAAATGGTCTACACTTAAAACTTGGGTCAGCGCCTAGCAACCCCCTGACCGACACAGCTGGGCCGCCTTAATTCCCCAGGGTAGACGCTGCTATGGGGGCAGAAGAATGTTTCCGTTGATGTAGCTAGAATCGTTCTGGGAGGTGATGTTCCTCCACTGATGGAAGACCCCTTCTGCCGGTGTGGGTGGCGTCTACACTATGGGGTTATGCCGCCATAGCAAAGCCAACAGAGCTGTGCCAATATAGTCTCCGGAGTGTAGACACAATGTAAGTGGCTGCATTCAGCTCTGCATGCACAGCAGGGCTTATGGTGTCTTCAG